TGAGAGGGGTTTCAGCGCTGATGCTCTTCCTTAATCTCCATTCTAGGCCTTTCCGCATCCTTGCTGTGCCCCCAGCGATTCTGGATGCTTCCGAAGGCCCCCTGCTCCTGGTTCACAGGGGGTGCCAGCACCACGGGGGACACCCGTGATTTATCCCGTAAGCAGATGACTGCACTGCTGGAGCAGAGCTTCACGGCCAGTGCGGGTGGCACTGTCACATGGGGACACACGCTCTTCCGGACAGATGGTTCTCAAAGTGGGGTGCCCGGCCCAGCAGCAGAGGCCTTGCCTGATCCCGCAGATCGAGAGTGGGTGAAGCCTGCGTGTGTCTCTGCACAACCGCCAGGCGTGAGAGCCACCCTCCAGGGGTGCGTCCTTAAGGGCCCCCAAATCCCTGCTCCACCTTAGGAGCTGAGTCCCTTGGCCCATCTCAGAAAACTCCCCTCGCCTCACTTTTCTGTCTACAGATTGGAATAATGTCCTCTGGCCCACCGTGAGGGACACACGTGTCCAGCCCACATGTGGCACTATGCAGAGGCACTCGGGAAACGGGGCTCCTCTGTGCTCACTCTGGGGACACACACACACAGAGAGAGAGAGAGAGAGAGAGAGAGAGAGAGAGAGAGAGAGAGAGAGAGAGACCAGAGCTCTGAGACATGCGCCTCTTCTGCCCAGAAAGAGCTCAGAGGATGGGTGTCGGGGCCAGATGGCCGCCAGGAGGTGGCAGCGTGGGCGCCTCCACCAGACCCCTGTGCCCCGGATGGCCGGGGCCATCTGGCCTGGAGAGGGTCCATTAGGCATTACTCACCAGAAGCAGAGACTCATCAGTTTACTACAGGGAGAAAAGGAAAAATGCTTCCCGTGGTCAGGACATAGTCAGGACCCCGGGAGCACTTGTTTGGTTTCTGGCCTCCACGGCCAACCCCAGTGTGTGTGTGTGTGTGTGTGTGTGTGTGTGTGTGTGTGTGTGTTCTGGGGCCTGTGGCACTGCCTATCTAAGGGGGTCCCAGGTGACACCGCTGAGGCAGGTTCGACTTCTCTGGGCTCCCAGTTCCACAGCAGGTCAGATGTGGCCGAGAGAAGACGTGGGCAACCGTGGAAGACCTGGGCAGGACCGGATCTGGTGCCTCAGTTCCCCTGGGTGGGCGGAGGGACCTTCCACTGGGCTCCTGCCCACCCCCAGAGTGGCCACAGCGGTCAGCGTGACTCGTGTCTGCCAGGCAGTGAGGGGGCAGGAGAACAGTGAGTGGCAGACGTGGGCTGTGGGGCAGCAAACCCCATCCGTGGCCTCCTGTGCTGAGGACCCACTGGAAGGTCACATGGACCTCTCTCAACTCACTGTCCAGAGTGACCACAGTGAGCTGTGGACAACGCACAGTGCACCCCAACCACACTCTCCTGTCCATACTGCTTCCAGTGGCCCTCACAAGCAAGGCGTACAACCACCCCCCCCCCCATGGCCATTCCACGGCCCCCGACCAGCTCCTGCCTGCTGAGTGACCACCATCCCTGGAGCCCCAGCTGATCCCTCCTGAGCCCATGGGTGCCGGCACTTTCCTGCTCTCGCCCCTCACACTCACCCTGCCTCTCCCATGCCAGGCTAGCTTGGCCTCAGCTGTGAGCTGAGATCTCAGGGAGTCTCCCCCCACCCCAGCAACGGCAGAGGGGGACGTGCCCCCCGCTGGATCCTTCTTGACGTCTATCGGAGCTGATCTTGGATGTGTGCGAATGGAGAGAGGATGTTCTTAGGGACCCTCCAGGGAGCCATCATTCCACGTCAACGACCACCAGCACTTCAACACAGCCGTGTGCTCCTCCCGGCTGGGCTAAAGCTGCCCCGCACCCCAGACCCTCCGCAGCCGCACTGCAGGCACCTGAGGCCAAGCGGGCACTGCGAGGTCCCCCTGGCTCTCAGCCTCTGCCATGGGCCGTGGCCCAGAGCAGCCCTGCTGGTACATGGTTGGCACCAACCAAAACTTCCAGCGTTCTTCCAAGAGCTTGCATATTTAGCTCACTAATCCTCACGGCATCCCCGAGGCATGGGCTGTGACTGTCTCCATGGTACAGGAAGACGGAAGCCGGGGGAGGTGGGTGTCCAGCTGGGCCGGGGGGAACACAAGACCACTGTGTTGCCTGAAATTCTCCAGCGGTCCCGTTAGAACAAGAAGGAAAAACGATGAAATCGAGTCGAATGCTGAGTTGTCATTCGTAAAATTGAGCTGAGATATCATCTTAACATGCCAGCAACAAAAGACATATTATCTCTGCGAGCTCCGCAGCCTGTTCTGCTCACGCAGGCTTCCGGATCCCGGCGCGGGACCGTGGCACGGCTCCATTCTGATGGTCACACGTCCAGTGGCCTCCCCAGGGACAGTGCAGCAGCCATCCTGGTCACCAGCCTGTCCAACTGCCTCTGGCCCACGCCCAGCAGGCTGAACGGACACAGCAGGTGCTGAGGGAGGAGGGTCCCGAGCACCTGTCCCTGCTCTTCCCTGGATAATTAAAACACCCCACATTTCTTGGGTGCTGGGGGGGGGGCTGGCACCCTCTCACCCATCCCATGGGGAGGACTTCAGGTGAAGCGGGTTGAACTCCTGGCAGGGACAAGATGTGGGCAGCAGAGCTGGGCCCTGAGCCCATGTTCTAGAGTGAAGTGTGCGCCACTGTCCCTTGGCCTGGGGCTGCCTCTGAGCTGTGCAGACACAGGCTGGGCTGACCTCTGGGATGGCAGCCAACCGAGGGCCACCATACCCCTGCCCTGCTCGGGGAAAGCCCTGTCCTTTTCTGTCACGGTGTGGCCACAGAAGGCTGGCAACGATGGCCCGCGTTCTGGGCAAAACGAGGGGCCCTCAGAGAAGGGAAAGGGTCAGACCCAGGGCCACGCTGCCATCCGGCTGGAGGGGCAGGGCCTGGGGGCAGCGGGCAGGTTAACCCTGTCCATGGCTCACAGACTCATCAACTCTGTGTCCAGCCAGCAGTGGACACAGCCACCTGGAACCCTCAGAACTCTCACTGGGGTCCCTGGGTCCCCAACACCCTCAGTCTGACTTTCCAATATCAGCTCCAGAGGGCAGTGGCGAGAGCAGGCTGAGCACCAGAGTGCATGCAGGAGGCCCAGGGTAGATCTCTGGCATCAGCTCCCTGAGCACAGAGCCGGGAGCACAGAGCACTGCTGGGTATGACTCAGTTCCCCCTTCCCCAGGCTCTGAATCCCTCAGACAGGTTCTTCCTCCTCCAGGTGAGACACTTGGTCTCAGGATGAGGCAGGTATGTGCCAGCCCTGGGTGGCATCTCTTTTTTGTTTTATATTAAAGCATCCTTTAATATTTTTGCATCTTTCTCAATACCTGAGGGGAGAGGGCAGAAGGCACTTGGGGTTCTGTCACTGCCTCTGTCCTCCCGTTGTTCATCGACTTGCTCGAGCGGGCCCAGTAACACTGTGAGACTTGTTACTGTGTTTGACATATCGAATATGCCACAGGGTGCTTGCCAGGCTTTGCTGTATGGGCGGGATACTCTGGTAGCTTGCCGGGCTCTCCGAGAGGGGTGGAGGAATCGAACTCGGGTTGGCCATGTTGGCTGCATGCAAGGCAAACGCCCTACCCGCTGTACTATCGCTCCAGCCCACTCAAGGTTCTATTATAAGATTTTTTCTTTTTTTTTTTTTCCTTTTTGGGTCACACCCAGCGACGCACAGTGCTTACTGCTGGCTCTGCACTAAGGAATTACTCCTGGCGGTGCTCAGGGGACAATATGGGATGCTGGGAATCGAACTCGGATCGGCTGAGTGCAAGGCAAACACCCTATCCGCTGTGCTATCGCTCCAGCCCCGATATTCATTTTTTTTATAATTGAATTACCATGAGATACACAGTTACAAAGCTGTTCACAGTTGGGTTTCAGTCATACAGTGTTCCCTCACCTGTCCCTTCACCAGTGCACATTTCCCAGCACCAATTCCAGGAATGCAAAGATGGTTTAACATTCACCAATCCTAACAACATAATTCTCCGTATCAATAAAAGGAAAGATAAAAATCACACGATCATATCAATAGATGCAGAAAAAGCATTTGGCAAGATCCTGCACCCATTTGTGAGGAAAGCTCTCAACAAAATAGGGGATGGAAGAAACTTTCCTCCATCTAGTCAAGGCCACCTACCATAAGCCCACAGCAAGCATTACTCTCAATGGGGAAAAACGAAAGCTTTTCCCCTAAGCTCAGGCACAAGACGAGACTGCTCACTCCTGCCACTCTGATTCAGTACTGGCACCTCCTATTTTAGGGGTGAGACACGGAGGGGCGAGAGCCAGGCAGGGCCCCAGCACGCCCCACACACCTGTGCTCCTGATGCCAACCTCTCTTTGGAGTTTCAGGGAGACGGCGCTCCCCACGCACCACCCCTGCGGGAGACGGCACCCCCAGCACACCACCCCTGCAAGATATGGTGCCCCCAGCACACCACGTCTTCTTCTGGAGGGTGTATGCCAGAGTGCTGCCCCTGGGCCTGCCGGTGCTCCAGCTGACCCTTCACCCCTTCACCATACAGTGGGCTTGCAGGGGGTGAGGCCTGGGTGGGGATGGGCAGAGCAGTCTGGGTCAGGGGGTCAACAGCAGCCGTGGCACTGCACCCTGACCCCCAGCTCTGGGGCAGCACCGCTTCCATCTCTGGGCAGGAACTGGGGGAAAGGACCCCATCTCCTTGACCTCTGCCCATAGCTAGTAGCCCGACTACCCAATCAAGAGATGGGTGGGCGGGGGTCCCCCAGAGGGCACAGTGGGAAGTGGCCAATGAACCGACGACTCAGATGCACAGCTCAGAAACGAGGTTCAACAGCGTCTCCCATTAACCCTGGCGGGAAGAGCCAAAACGCACCGGGAGCAGGGCTGTGGCCGTGGCCAGCGGCTTCCCCCAGAGCCCGGCCTCCCTCGGGCCCAGCCTCTGCTGCACCAGCTGCTCCAGCTGCCCCTCCTGCCCTCCTCCGGGCAGCCCCCTTACCTGAGACGATGGTGTAGCCGATGCCCCGGGGACGCCCTTTGTCCTGGTCGATGGCGGTGATGACGCGGACAGTGGTGCCCTGGTGGGAGAGGAGGGACGTGAGGGAGGCCTGAGAGAGAAGGAGGGCCCGGCTTCGGGCGGGAGAGGAGTGATGTGGGGAGGGCTGGCTCCAGGTGGGAGAGGAGGGATGTGGGGGAGCCCGGGCACCCCGCCCCAGGGGAAGCTGGGGGAGCTGTCCCACTTATTTGCAATTGTTCTAGGGTTCCCCTGCTGGTGCTCAGGAAACCGTCTGTGTCTGGGACGGAACCCAGGCCCTGTCCTTGCCAAGTGCACGCTCCGGCCCCTGAGCTAGGGCTCAGTCCCAAAGAAACAGCTCCTCGGGCTTTCCTGGTTGTGTCTGAGTTGGGGACTGTACCTGGTAGCGTCTGCGGATTTCTCCTGACTCTGTGCTCAGGGGTCCCTCCCAGCGGTGCTGGAGACCTAACGTGGTTCTGCTGCATCTGAAGCACAGGCTCAGTGCTCCCCTGCCCCCACCCTGCTCTCTCTGGCCCGGAGAGGGGGATCCAAGGGAGGAGCACTTTTTCTGTCTCCACCATCAGAGCTTTGACCCCACAGAGCCCTTCGCCCCTGGGACCTCGGTTTACCCCACAACGGTCTGAGTGACAGCCGGAGGCGCGGCTAGTTCCTGCTGGACCTGAGTCCGGGGCAGCCCCATGCTGGACATTCCTTCAGTGTGGCCTGCGCTGCCCCAGCACCCGGGGACACCCACGCGGCTCTGAAAACTGCCTCCTTGGCCCTGGCGCCCCCGCCCCCTCCAGCTCTCCTGGCAGGCTGGGGGCTGGTGGAGTCTGAGCTGAGTGCTGGTGCCAGGCACGCTGACACACAGCCGGACACTCAGCGGGGAGAGTGTGCCCACAGCCCAGCCTGGAGGAACGGCCAAGGGTGGCACACGGTGACTTTTAGAGTGGTCTGTGAAAAAAAAAATGAAGGTGATCACCCGGGTATGAAATGAGGGGAAGGTGCAGAGCTCCGGACCACAGTGGCAGCAGACGGGCTTGGAAATGTAAGACTCGGGTTTGTAGATCTGTGGGTTTCAGGCTGCACCCGACGGTGCTAGGGGGTCACTCCTGGCAGAGCTCTGGGGGCCATCTGGGGTGCCGGGGATTGAACCAGGGCCGGCAAGAGGCCTGGGCTTTCCAGGCAGTGATGCCAGCACAGAGCCAGCGCGGCAGTGAGAGGGCCCTGCACTTGCTCTCAGGCTGGGACACCCCCTGCGCCACTGGCTCTGCTGACCCCAGGGGATGGAGCCACACAGACACTGTCCCCATCTCTGTCCCTGGGGGCATCTCACCCCGACACCTGCGTGCCCCACAGAGGCTCTCGCCTTGGCCCCTTCTCGGGTCATGAGCTGGAGGCTGAAGCCCACAGCACCCCTCACCCCCTCTGAGCAACCTTCACCGATGGAGAGGCGCCTCCCCAGACTCACATGCCCTTGACCCATGACCTCTGACCCGGACAGTGGGCTGACCCCTGCTCCCCTCCCCCTCCCGCAACTTCAGGGCTGGCAGTGCTGCCCCCACAGCTGTCACCCGGTCCTCTCCCGGGTCAGGAGTGCAGCAGCTGGGAAGGTGAGTCTGTGCTGGGGCGTCCCTGAGGCTGCCTGGGCCGAGGCCAGGCAGAGTCCACCTGGCTCAATTGCCGGCCTCCTTTGCGTCCCCGCGGTCCAGCACTCTGGCCAGCATTCCTGTAGGTCCTGGCAACTCCCCCATCTCTGCAGGTGGGTGCTGAGCCCACTCCGTGGGAGACTCAGGAGCCAGCTGCTATGGGGAGTCCCCCCACGCACCCTGCTGTCCAGAGGCACGCTGCCCATGCTGCATGAACTGCCCACTGCCCTCACGACTCCCCTGGGGAACAGCAGGACTGGGCGATCCCTGGGCACAGCTGACCCACACCTGCGTCCACGCCAGGGCCTAAGAATGCTGCTGCCTGCCGGGCACCCGTACTGGACCCTGAATTCTGTTTTTTCCTGTTTTTCTTTGTTTGTTGGTTGGTTGGTTTGTTATGTTTCTGACCCATACCCAGTGGAGCTCAGGGCTTACTCCTGGCTCTATGCTCAGGGATCCCTTCTGGCAGGGCTTGAGGGACCGTATGGGACACCGGGGGTCAAATCCAGGCCAGCCTCTGGCCCTGTGCCATCTGTCTGGTCCTGGCCCAGGCCGTGGGGGGAGGATGCAAGCTGTCACTTAAGTGTCCTTTAACACACTGACTCGGGGGAAACTGGGTGACCTGCACACTGTCCAGTGTCCTCAGACAGTCCAGCTCTATCTTGGCAGAGAGCCTGACCTGACTCCCCAGGCTGTGGACGAGAACACCTGGCCCCCCCACGGGACGGAGGGTCCTTCTACTGCTGTATTGGGCTCCGTGTTGGGCTCTGTGTTGAGCTGAAGGGTCTACGCCGTGCTAACCGACCCCCGGAAAGCACTGGTGCTCCCCTTGTCCTCCCTTTCCCACAGCCCAGGGGCCTGTCCCCAGGAGGAGGGCTGCAGGCAGTGGTTCCGACTTCTGGTTTGGGGGCCACCTCTGGCGTTGCTTGGGGGCTACTCTTGGCTCGGTGCTCTAGGGTTGCTCGCTGCAGTGCTCAGGGACCATGCGGTACTGGGGATCAAGTCTCGGGTCTCCCACATGCAAAGGAACCAGACCACGGTCAAAGACCGTCTCTCCATGCCCATGGCGCCTCTTCCATAACCCATCCAGTCTGGGCCCAGGAGAGTCAGGGCGGGGCCCGCTGCCAGTGCTCACAGAGCACCGTGCCAGGGACCAAGGAGTAGGAAGGACCACATGACTCTGCCTTCGCCGGCAGGGAGGGAAGGAGGGGTGGGCAGTGCTGGTCTTCACCAACAGGGAAGGACGGAGGGCAGTGCAGAGAGGGGTCCCGGTGGCCCGCCCCTCACCGAGGCCCTCAGGGCCGGCCAGCCAGGAAGGGCCGGTGCCTGTCCCAGCGCAGCCTCGAGGCCCTCCCAGGGAGGCCGCGCCTCTGCTTCCGAGAAGCCAACCCTGGGAGGCTCCTGACGAAGTTTGGGGTTTCATCTCTTTCTGGGTAAATAAATCCATTTTTAATAAAACCCTGAGCTTTTAATACAAGTGCAGTCACAAGGACGGGGAGTGTTATGAGAAGGAATTAGGCGGGAGGCGGGGGCTCCGCGGAGACCTCGGCTCCTGTTTCAGAGCCTCGGCGATGGTATTTTCAACCGACTGAAACTCATTTCCAAAGACAAAGGGGTGGTGGGCGCCTCTGCTGACCACGCACGGGGTCCCGGGCCGGGAGAGCAGGGGCAGGCCCAAGCCCTGGGTGTTTCTTCCCAGGAAGCCAGGAAGGAAGGAAGGACACGCAGAGGGGCTGCCTGGGGGTCCCCACTTGTGTGGGAGCAGGACGGCGACGCGGCTGGGGCGGCCTGGCTGCAGCCAGATGCCTGGGACCGACTCCTTCGAGGGAGCCCTTTGACCTCATGCTGTCTCGCTTTCCACATCTGTAAAATGGGTGTAACAGTCCCCATCACTGAGACAGAGCTGGCACTCAGCAAATGCTGCCCAAGGGACTGTCTCTGGAGCCAGAGACTAAGTCGAGTCTGCTTTGGACATCGGAGGCCCCAGCTGGGTCCCGAAGCACCGCCAGGAATAAGTCCTGAGCACAGAGCCAGGAAAATCCCCCAAGCACTGGCAGGTGTGGCCCCCCAGTCCCCCAAAATAGAAACCCAAGAAACAAAACTATTGTTGTCGCTTTTCACACTGTGAGCGTTGGAGAAAGCGAAGCCACAACTCACTATGACACACACTGAGGCGGTGTCCAGGGGGTTCAGGCAAAGCCCGGAGCCCCGCCCCCACATTCATGATCCCAGCCGGGACCGGGTCTCCCAACCCATCGGGCATGTCCTGCGGGTGTGCCAGGCCGGGGTGCCCAGCGGGGGCTCCCTGTGTCTTCTCCAGCACCCCTGCCCGGGCATGCAGGGGCGCGTGGGGGGAGCACTGACGGGCTCAATCCAGGTGCTGGAGGGGGCGAGCGACGGAGCATGAGGGGCTGCAGGGGGGCGTGGTGGGGGGAATGAGGTACTCAGGTGGTCACCCCTTGAGGCTGAGATGCATTGGCAAGGCGGGGCCAAGTCCAGGACGCCGGGAGCTCTGGAGCAGGAGCGGGTGCTTCCCTCTGGTACGCCCCTGACTAGCCACCCGCCAGGACGACAGCTGACTCCGGAGCCGGACCCCCGGGGCCAGGGCTTGGCGGGTCTGGCCTGGACACCCCCCACATCCCAGCCAGCTCCATGGGGCGCCCCTCCCCCCACGCCCCCGACAGGATCAGGACTTAAAAGCGGGGAAGAAGGAGGGGCTGGGGGTGGGAGGGGACTTCCGACAAGAGCTGCCACAGCAGATTCTGAGGCAGAAAATCCTATTTCTCAGTCCTTAATTCCAGTCAATTCCAGTCAAAGGGCTGATAGGCATCGGCTGGCAGTAATTTGTGCGGTTCCCGGCTCCTTCACCTTCCCCCGGCCCGCCACTGACGGGCAGGCCGACATGCTGTTGCTCGAGTGAGGAAATTAAAATTTGAGGCAATAATCCCCAATAAGAAGGATTTTATTAGGTAATATATACACTTTAGATGAGGCGGGCCGGCCCGATACACTGATAGGGGGGCAGACATGTGGGCGCCACAGATAAAGAGGCAGAGCGAGGCCGAGTGGGCCGGGGTCCCAGGGCAGGGCGGGGGTGGGGCACCAGGGCTCTCGGGCCAGGCCACCCCTCCACCCCGGCCCAGAGCGAGCAACGCAGCATTAAATCAGGGTTCCACGCTGTAACGGACGCAGCGGGTCCGGATCGAGGCGTGGAAACCGATTAAAAGCCTGGAAGAGTGGGAACTGGCTTGTCGGGAAAGCTGGGTGGAAGATGGGGGAGTGGGCGCCCCTTCCGGTGGGATGGGGGAGTGGGTGCCCCTTCCCGCGAGATGGGAGAGTGGGTGCCCCTTCCCGCGAGATGGGAGAGTGGGTGTCCCTCCCGCACGGGCGCGGAGGAGAGGCAGAGAGGGCTGTGTGGGCACTGGGGGAGTCGGACACCCTCCCCCACACACCCTGAGACGGTTCCCCGGGCCGGTCCTGTCCGGGACAGCAGCTCCCGGGTCCATTCAGGGCACCAGCATCTCTAGGCTAAGGGGGTGATTGCGGAGACATCCCGACCTTTTGGCCTGAGTGGGAGGATGACAGACACCAAGGAACGGAGCAGATGCCCGTGGGGTCCCCCGAGAGCAGCGGGGCTGGGGGCCGGGCGGCATCAGAGAACAGAACGTGGCAGGGGAGAACGTGCAGACACGGGCACCCAGGGTTAGAGGCCGATGTGTGCCATCCAGCCCAGAGAGGGGCCCTCTGCGCCACTCCACCAGGCCAGCTGGCAGGAACCTCTCACAGTCCGAGAAAAGTCGCTTAGTGCCGCTCAAGCCACGGCTTGCCAAGACCAGGGGGTGACCCGCAATCCGTCTACATCAAGAAGCTCTTTCCCAGCTGCCAGGAAATTTCTGCAGACGAAGCAGTTTGGCACCACTGACGGGAGAACAGGCTCTCTCGGGCACTGCCATGCGGCCCTGGAGACCCGGACAGCATCGGGGCCCAGGACGGAACTACCTGGCCAAGGGCCCTCACGGGGAATCTGGGAGGGTCCCCCCAAAAAAGGAAGATCTGGAAATGCCAGAAAGAGAGGTGAGCGCAGCGAAACGAAGCTGAAGCCAGTACCCCTGGCCTGGGCAACTCGGGAAGCTCACACAGGGGTGCCCCCTTCCCACCCGCCAGAGCTGGGCCGGCTCTGCGCCCTCCACCCCTCCCAGACAGGACCAGCCCGGCTGCCCAACCTGCCAGAGATGTATCCAGAGGCTATGTGACCTGGCCATCGCAAGGCCAGGGCAGAGTGAGGGCCTACCCCAATGTCCTCTGGGCCCTGGTTGCCACCTCGGCCTCATTCTAGGCACCAAACTGGTTTTGTCCACCTTCCTCTCGCGGCCCTGTCCTGACGGCCAGGAAACACCCAGGAAACCCAGACCTGGGTGCCAAGACCTGCGTGGTGGGGAGTGGGCGCCAAAGCGCCCCTTCCTCCTCCTGGGGGCTGCCCCAGAGCAAGCCCAGGTCGGGCTGAACAGGTGGCGGGTGTGTCTGGGCTGGAGAGAGCGAGTTGGAAGGGGGCCAGTGGGGGCCAGCAGGTGGACGGATCCCGTGCTGGCCGGAAGCAGCTGTGGAGAGGACAGGCCGGTCAGCCACCACCTGTGCCCACTCACGTCCAGGATCCTTCTAGAAACACTCTCCCAGCACCCGCCAGCTGTCGTCTGTGCTCTCAGCAGGGAGCAAGCCCCCTGAGCTCTGCTGAGCTGTCCCAGGGCAGGGTAGCAGGGACAGTGGGCAGCAGGGCCGTCTACCCAAAGGTCAGGGAAGGTCACCTGGCTGGGCAGAGGGTCCCGTCAGCCTTCAGTCTCAAAAGCAGGACTTCGCCTCTTCCTGGGAGCACCAAGAAAGAGAAGCCCGGGTGGATGGGGTGGGGGTCTGTCCCTGCAGTGCCGGATGCCTGCAGGGGTCCAAGAAAGAGCCTGCTGGGTCCCTCCAGCCCCCGCCCACCTCTGGAAGGAGAGGGGGCGTGGGCACTAGCTCTGGACACCTGGAGCACGTGGGCACCTTCAAGTGGCCAAAGCAAAGACACCTATGGCCAGAACAGTCACAGACGCCAGCCGGGGCGTGGGGCCACCTGGTCTGGGGACCCGGGGGTGTGGTGAGGGCCGCCTTCACTCAGGACCAGGTGTGCGAGAGGGACGGGTTGAGGGGGGGGGGGGGACGCCCTGCTTTGCTCTCAGAGCTCTGTGGGGTTGGGGACCAGGTCAAGGTGCAGCACACGCTTTGCATCCCTGGTACCACACCGTAATAAAAGAAAAGGAAAAAAGAGAGAAAAGGCCCTTTAAAAATGAGGAAGGCTTCAATACCTGTATTGCAACCATAGTGCCCAAAGGTGAACAGGGGAGAGAGAGGGAGGGAGGGAGGGAGGGAAAGAGGGAGGGAGGGGTGTCTGCCATAGAGGCAGGCTGGGGGGTAGTTCAAGGGAAACTGAGGAGAGTGGGGGTGGGAAATGTGCACAGGTGAAGGGAAGGGTGCTGGCATATTGTACGACTGAAACCCGATCACAAACCACTTTGTGACTGTGTGTCTCACCGTGATTCGATAAAAAAATGAAAAAGAAAGGAATTGAGCTTCCATAAAAAACATCATGTAATTATATTTGTAGAACTTAAATGTTCTCAAGTTTCTAAAGATATGAAGACTTGATTTTATGAATGTGTTAATTAGGTGAAGAAATAAAAAATAATGAGGTCAGGTGGGCGGAGAGATTATGGAGACGTTAAGGTAATTGCCGTGCATATGGCCAAGCTAGATTCAATCCCCGGCATCCATAGGGTCCCCTGAGCACCACCAGAAGTGACTCCTGAGCAGAGGACCAGGCCTAAGCTTGGAGCACCGCTGAGTGTGGCCCTCCAAACCAAACCCAAACCAACCATTCCTAAGAGCAGAGGCTGGGGGGCCCCGGAGGACTGGAGCACAGCCGGCACTGAGGTTCTGGGTTCCGTTCCTGGCACTGTAGGGGCCTGGAGCGCTGCCGGGCCCAAGCAGCTCAGGGCTGAGAACTGCCAGGAGCAGCCCAGGGGTCTCCCTCCGGAACACTGCTTGGGAGACCCCCATGCTCAAAAAACAAAAAAAAAAATTGCCTTTTCTTTTTTTCTTAAAGAAAAGCTCACTTGTGCAAACTCAACCCCCAGCCGTGCCTGGCACGGAGGGCTGACAGGACCCTGTTTGCTAAAGTCCTGGCAGAGACGAAACACAGCAGAGGTGTGGCCAGGGTGGTCCCTCTGTCCAGACATGGGCAGGGAAAGCGCTGTGTGCTGCTCTGCGTACGTGCAGACCCCACAGAAGGCCACTTCCCTCCACAAGAGTGGCTCCCCTGCGCCACGTCTGGGCTGGCTGGGGTCTCCCAAAGAAGCCCCTTTTCTTATCACCCGGGACCTCGTGGTTCACTCTGATGTGCACAAAACCGCAGGGACGGACCAGAAGGCGTGGCCCATGGCTGGGCAGCCCCCTCTGCCCCGCAGCACTGATGAGGCACAGGGTTTGTTCTCAGAGTGCCCGGGTCTGAGCTGAGCCGGCGGGGGACACGCGGCCCCCAGGAAGCGGGTCTGCATGCTGCCTGGTGATCTCTGACCCGTGCCAGGGCGCAGCCAGTCAGGTGCTTCTCTAACCAGGGCCTGACCTGCAGAGCACAAGCCCAGCCAGGATCGGGGTGCTGGGGGACCACCATCCTGGGCAGCGCGGATGGGTGGACGGAGGCAGATTGGCCAGCTGAAGGGTGGGGGGCAGGCAGGGCCACACCGAATCCAAATCCACCCGGCTAGATGTTTTGGGGGTCCGTGTCCCCCCACGCTCATCTCTGAAACCTGCCTCTCGCGGAGCCGGGTGAGGTGCTGGGGAGTGGGGTGGTGAGGGGTGGGTGCGGGGAGTGCCAGGCTGCGCGGGAACACAGGGGGACCCCCAGGCGCTCACCGGCGGGGAGTGCTCGTAGATATTGGTGCTGTAGGGCAGGTTGATGAAGATGGGGTCCATGTCCTGGACGTCCGTGATGATGATGGCCAAGTTGGCCAGCGTGGACAGAGGCCTGGTCTTGTCTTGATCCTTAGGGGGAGAGAACACACAGTCCTGGGTTACGCGAGGCATGGGACCTGCACGTGGACGAGACTGGACTCGGGCGCCGTGGGCACGGGCGCCAGTGTGGGTACTCCCCTGTGGGCACGAGCCTGAGGTGCCCCCACATCCCCACAGGGCACAGTGAGTGTGTGGGACCCTCACTCAGAGGCCACGCTGCCATCTGTGCTGTTTAATTTTCTACTTCTGGAGTTTGGGCCACACACGGAGGTGCTCAGGACTTACTCCTGCCTCTACTCAGGGACCATCCTGGCTGTGCTCAGTAGACCATGTCCGGTGCCAGAGACAGAACTGAGGTTGTCCGGGCAAGCGCCTTAACCTCTGTACTGTCTCTTCGGCCCACTGCCCACCATGACCTGTGACCTGTGCGGGAAAACACAAGTCGGACCCCAAAGCTCAGAGGAAGGTGGTTTATTGGGAGCTGAAATGCAGGGCTGGAGCCCACTCAGGCCTCCTGCCCAGACCAGCCGTCCTGAACATCTGGCGGGTGGGACGACCACCTTGGGGTCCTACCGATGGACCTGACTTACTTCCCAGGCACCGCAAACCCCTGAGCACTGAGTGGCAGCCCAGAGGCCCCTGAGCCCCCCGGCCTGAGCCCACCGCAGCCTCGGGCTCCGCGTGGAGCCATCTGGTACAGGGCTGACCGGGGCTCTGACTGACCAGGGCGCTGCGTGGGGCACCCGGCAGAAGGATAGTGTGACCCTTGGTTCTTCTCAGGATCCCGTCAGGGGCCAGTGTCCCCATGGCCACCCGCCCCTCCTGTCACTGAACGGCTGACTGCGAGGGGACGCTGTGGGGTCCGTGTCTCTGAGCTGCACCCGAGACACTGGTCAAGCCCCTCCCCACCCGTCTTTTGGGGGTAGAACCAGCAGGAGAGCTCCATGGCCTGTTGCAATTGGGGGACTCCAGTGGCCAGGCACGCAGTGTCTGACCTCTGACCCCTTAGCTGGACAGTCAAGTCCCAGAAAGCTGACCAAGAATGGAAAGGCCGGGTGCCACACCTGTCACCCTGAGCCAATACTGACGCAGCCCTTCGGCTCCTGACAGAATGGGCAGTCGAAAGGGTCACGGCCAGACGATGCAGTCGAACCCTGCTGGACACGGCGCTGTCCTGGCGGCTACACTGTCCTCGTTATTCCCATGAGTTCACAGGGCCTAAGTGAGTCTGGAGTCACAGCTGATGAGCAGGAAGCCAGGACTCCAATTCCAGTGCTCCTCTGTTTCTGTCTGGGGGCACGCCCGGCAGTGTCCCGGGCTTACTCCTGTGCTCAGGGCTCACTCCTGGCAGGGCTGGCGGACCACATATGATGCTGGGGATTGAGCCAGGCCAGTCACCCGCAAAGCAAGGGCCTGAATTCCCGCATTCTCTCCCTAGCCTGTTCCTGACACAAAAACCTGCCCTCAGCGGCCTTGATTTAGGTCTTCACCCACAGGCCACAGGTGAAAACGGCTGAGGGCCACTGGCCTGGGTAAGGCTGGGTGCACGGGCCTGTGTTCAGGAGGGGGGCCGGGTCCCGGGAGGAGGATGGCTGGTGAGGCTGATTGGACTGGTGGGAGCCTCAGTGGCCGGGAACCACACGCCGTTCATTTCCTTCTAGTACTCAGTGTTGTTCTCTGCCAGACAAACGGGCTCGGGACAGACGTGAGGGGGCCCTGGGTGGGATCTGGGATGTGGGTTCTCAGGGTCAGCAATGCCTATGGCCCATGCCAGGGGCCTGTGCCGCCCCAGAGCCCACTGTCCAGAAGAGGCAGAGGCCAGGCCCTGGTGGCAGGGGACACGCAGGGTGGTATGAGACGGGCAGGCACCAGACACGGGGCCAGCAGCTCTCAGCCCCCTGTTCCCAGCCAAGTCCAGGCCTCTCTGGCACCCACAGAGTCGTGGCCACAAATCCACACGCCCTCCCCCGCCACGCCACACGGCGAGTCTCTGGGGAAGTGTCCGACAGCCAGGGGCACGGCCAGGCGTGACGGAAGCTGAGGATTACACGGCAGAGTCATCAGCTCTGAAGGGGCTTCTCGAACCCTCCTGTGCAGCTGCTGCAGGCCCCAGGGCTGGCAGATTAAGGGCAATTTAGTTGCAGCCACCGGCCCAGCTGGAGCCCAGGCGCCGTGCCAGGCCGCCCGGCCGTGCCTGCACTCGGTTCCGCTCCTTCCCCAGGGCCCAGAGTCATTTTTTGGGTGGATGAAAATGATCCCACGGGGATGGGCTCCCAGCAGGGTGCAGGTCAGGGCCCAAGGGGTGGAGAGGGGGTACGATGGGAGGGCAGACGCCCAGTCCCCGGGTGTGGGTGCGAGGGAGCGAGGACGGGAACGGGGCCTGAGCGCAGCTGTCCCCGGCCTGACTGGGCCAGTGGGGAGGGAAACGTGGGGCTGTCCCCGCCCCCACCCCCAGGGAACCCATTCCTCCAGAGCTGGGCCTCACCCCGGCCCCTGTGCCTCTGCCTGGCAGAGCCCGGGCTCTGGGACCCTCCTGGGGAGCACCACACGCTGTGAGCACCCCAAGAGGTGATGGGGGCAGGAGTCTGCGGGCAACCGGCCGTGGAGCATCAGAGGAATTCCTGAAAGGCTTTGGCGCTTTGTAGGCAGGAACATGAGGGGCACAGGGAAGGCCCCGCTCCGAGCAGGGGAGAGACAGGCAGGGGCACTCTCAGGCATGGTGTACCCCAGGACCTGGTGGACAAGGACGAGCCGGCTGCAAGGTCCTGAGACCCAGAGGTTTCAGGAGGGCACGGCCTGAGCATGGGGCTGCTGGGCCGGGGTCTTGCGTGCGAGTCTGTGGGGTCGTCATTCCCACCCAGCTCCTGCTCTGGACCGAGCCTGGCTCCCCGGGACCACTGCTGGCTGCTAACGGGAGTCCACTCCCATGATGGCCCCCAGAAACTTCCAGAACCTTCAGCTCCTGCAAGCGGGGGATGTCACACACAGCTAGATGGACATCTCTGTCCTGTGTGCTGGAAAGGGAGTGGACACCCGATCCCCAGGTGACCCACGAAGGGGCAGAAGCACGCTGCTCCCACGCCCACGTGCTCCCCTGCACACAGGCTTCATCAGTTACTGAGTTTGGTTTGGGGGTCACTCCCGGTGGTGCTCAGGGGTGCCCCCTGACTCAGGGCTTGGGAGTGCCGGGGGGCCCTGGGGTGCTGGGGCTTGATGTGCCCAGCCCATCTCTGGGGTCCTATAATGGGCTTCCGGGTGACGCTGAGGACCGCGGCCGTGGCCATCGCTCCAGCCCTAGCCCTGACCCTTAGAGCCTGTGGCTCTTCCTCTCGCGGGCCATGACCACGAGCCGGGCCTGGCAGGGAACGGGCTGCTGTCCCCGGGCTGCTGGCTCTCTCCCGGGTGGACTCACCGTGGCGTTGACCGTGAGCTGGTAGGCCTGCGTGGTCTCGTAGTCCAGCTCCCGGGTCACGGTCACGATGCCCCGGGCACTGTCGATGGCGAAGAACGGGGATGGGGGCTGGAAGGAGTAGAGCACGCTGCCGCCCGCGCCCAGGTCCGGGTCCGTGGCGTTCACGATGAAGATGGGCGTGCCCACCGGGGTGTTCTGGGGACGAAGCAGCCATCAACGGGTCAGCAGGGGCTTGCAGCGGCCAACAGTGACTGTCCCCCCAAAGCCACTGACCACGTCCCTCCAGCAAGCAGACCTGCAGTGCTGTCATTCTCTGTCTACGAGGGTCCAGGGAACTGAAACCAACCTCCCTCCATCCCTCCCTTCCTTCCTTTCTTCCTCCCTTCCTTCCTCCCCCTCCCTTTCTTCTATGCTTCCTTCCCTTCCTCCCTCCCTCCCTCCCTTCTATCCTTCCTTCCTTCCTTCCTTCCTTCCTTCCTTCCTTCCTTCCTTCCTTCCTTCCACCCTCCTGCCTCCCTCCTGCCTCCCTCCTTCCTTCCTTCCCTCCCTCCCTCCCTCCCTCCCTTCTATCCTTCCTTCCTTCCTTCCTTCCTTCCCCCCTCCTGCCTCCCTCCTTCTTTCCTTCCCTCCCTCCCTCCCTTCTATCCTTCCTTCCTTCCTTCCTTCCTTCCTTTCCTCCTTCCTTCTTCCCTCCCTCCCTTCCTTTCTTCCTCCCTTCCTTCTATGCTTCCTTCCCTTCCTTCCTTCCTGCCTGCCTGCCTTCCTTCCCTTCTTCCTTCTTCCCTCCCTCCTTTCCTCTATCTCTCCTCTCTCCTTCCCCTCGCTCCTTCCCTCCCTCCCTCCCTCCCTCCCTTCCTTCCTTCCTTCCTTCCCTCCCTCCCTTCCCTCCCTCCTTCTTCCTTCCTTCCTTCCTTCCTTCCTTCCTTCCTTCCTTCCTTCCCTCCTTCCTTCCCTCCTGCTTCCTTCCTTCCTTCCCTCCCTTCTATCCTTCCTTCCCTCCCTCCCTTCCTTCCATCCCTTCCTTCCTTCCTTCCTTCCTTCCTTCCTTCCTTCCTTCCTTCCCCCCTCCTGCCTCCCTCCTTCTTTCCTTCCCTCCCTCCCTCCCTTCTATCCTTCCTTCCTTCCTTCCTTCCTTCCTTCCTTCCTTCCTTCCTTCCTTTCCTCCTTCCTTCTTCCCTCCCTCCCTTCCTTTCTTCCTCCCTTCCTTCTATGCTTCCTTCCCTTCCTTCCTTCCTGCCTGCCTGCCTTCCTTCCCTTCTTCCTTCTTCCCTCCCTCCTTTCCTCTATCTCTCCTCTCTCCTTCCCCTCGCTCCTTCCCTCCCTCCCTCCCTCCCTTCCTCCCTTCCTTCCTTCCCTCCCTCCTTTCCCTCCCTCCTGCTTCCTTCCTTCCTTCCTTCCTTCCTTCCCTCCCTTCTATCCTTCCTTCCCTCCCTCCCTTCCTTCCATCCCTCCATCCCTCCCTTCCTTCCCTCCCTTCCTTCCATCCCTTCCTTCCTTCCTTCCTTCCCTCCTTCCTTCTCTCCCTTCCTCCTTTCCTTCCTTCCCTCCTTCCTTCCCTCCCTTCCTCCTTTCCTTCCTTCCTTCCTCCCTCCCTCCCATCCTCCCTTCTTCCTTCTCTTGACAGTCACATTCCCCGGGGTCCAGCTGGGGCTTGCGGGCAGCCCTTCCCTGAGAGTCGGCTGGGGGCAGGGGTGGTCTTTGCAGGGGCTCCAGGACAATGCCCCTAGTTTTCATCCTTCCCTGAGCTGCCGGTTCTCCGCCCCCCACCCCCCTCCAGCCCAGGAAGACAAGGCCAGCACCCAGGACAGGGAAGGGGGCAGCAGGGCCCTCTGCAGGGACCACATGCCTCGGCTTCCCACAATGGTGCAAGACTGAAGCCTTTCTCCGCCTCAGCCCTGGGGCCCTGCCCCTGTCTGCTCCCCGGAAGCGCCTTGCCTAGGCCAGGCCGGCCCTGCACGCCCAGGACTGGGGAGCGGATTCCTCTCTCCTGCCCAGAGAGCCGCAGCAGACGCTGAGCACAGCCCTGCCGTGTGTTTCCGAGCCAGGTGCTCGTCTCTCGGACCCAGCGTCGGGGGCAGACTACTGGAGCGTCGCTGAGATGAGGGCGCAGGCACAAACACCTCCAGGGGAGGGCCGAGGGGCTCCAGGACCTGATCCTTCCTGGGCCCCACCCAGTCCTGGGGGCCCTGACCCGCCCAGAGGTGACTGCCTGTGCCCCACCCGGGGACACGGGACTCAGCGCCCCCCCACCCCCAGGCTCCAGGCTGTGACGTCGACTTGCTCCTGCAAATGAGGCACTGAGAGGGGTTCAGAGGCAGGGAGGGAATGATCTGGGGTGCTGTCCCCCCCTCTTCCTCCAGCTCCTGACCCACAGCCCCTCCCCCAAAATTCCAGGCACTGGACGATCCCCTCGGCTTTCCCTCTAGTCCTAGTTGCCCCTTACTGCTGTTCCCAGGGGTCCATGGTCCTTAATCCCCCCCAGTCCTGGGCACAAAGGCCAGGACTCAAATTCCCTCAAGCCGGCTCGGATATGCCAGCCTCGGCCCTCCCGTGCACCGAGGTAGGGAGATGAGACTCCTCTCCCCTGGTCTCTTCCAACACACACATTATACGCCAAGTGCCAGAGCCTGAGCCCCCACCCCAAGACCCCCCATGAGGACAGGGAGGGCTTGGGGGGCAGCAGGACCCTTCAGCCCGCTCCGCTGGTCAGCCCAGCCCAGGGAGAATGTCAGCGGTCCAGCCACAGCTGGGGGAGGAGAGGACATTTCTCCCCCCTGGCCAGAGCAGCTCCTCCGAGGATTCAGGAGCAAGACCCGGAAGAAGGAGGAGAAGGAGAACCAGAAGGGCTTGGTCCTGCGTCTGACCTTCTTGGATTATGTTTCATGCCCTGCAGTGAAAACCCATTTAATTTCTGCATAACTTAGAGAAGGTTTTAAATGGGCCTGGCAGCGGGCCAGGCCCATACTTAGAGGGGACAGGCCACTGGAGGGAAAAGAACGCTGACTTCCTGCCTTTCAGGTCTCGGGGGTCTGCCAGGGAAGTGGGTGGGGGCTCCTGGGGGCTCGGCTGGTGCTGTGAAATGCACAGATGTGTTCAGGTCTGACCCTCCACGCATGCAGGCTGCCTCCTGGGGCAGGGGTGCTGCTTCCTCAGTGGACCCCCGGGGCTCGGGGGCGGGGGGACTCGGTCAGTCAGAATCCTGGCTTCCCGTGATGGATTGGGGACCTCGGGCACCTGCCGTTCGGTTTGCTTGTGCCCAGGGAAATGTCACACGGGATCTCTTCACGGCAGCCCCTCCGCGGGCTGCGAGGAGGAATTCCACAGACAAGGCGTGAGAAAAAACAAGCTTCCCACCCAGCAGGGCCGCCGCGATACTGAGCCGGGCGGGATAAATGGCGGCTGCAATTATTATTACGGTAATAAAACACCATCCCAGGCGGCGTGCGATAAGCCCTATTTAAAGGCGGACATTAGAGACAAGTAAACAGCCGGTGCCCCTCTTCGTCACCACTCAGACAAGGGAGCAGCGTGAGACTCCCTCCGAGAGGGGGCCCGGGCAGTGCTCGTCTGGGTGCGGGCGGGCAGAGAGCACTGCCCAGTGCTCTGAGTCTCTGGGGACCCCAGACACACGGCAGGGTGTGTGGCCCCCACTGGGCACTCCAACCAATGCGCGATCCCTGGTTGCATAGCACAGCCCACGAGGGTGAGGTCGGAAACTTGGTGTGTGGGTCCTGTGTTGCCAACTGCACAGCTCAGCCAAGAGAAGGGGAAGGAAAAGAAACAAAATGTTCTTTAAAATTTCTCAGAGGGGAGACTGGAAAGAGCATGGTAGGCAGGGCACTTGCTGTGCATGTGGCCAGACTGGGTTGGATCCCTGGCGTCCCATCTGGTCTCCCTGAGCCCTGCTGGGAATTAGCCCTGGTCATCGTCGGGTGTGGCCCCCAAGCCTAAATAAATAAATAAATAAATAAATAAAAATTTCACAGAGGGGACGTTTCCTCTCTGTGAAGGCTGTTGCATGGCTGCTTTAAATGAAGCCAGGATGAGAGCCGCTAAAATTGAGTCTGGAGCACCTGGATGGTAGGCGGGATCAGGAGCACCTGGGGAGGTGGGCGGGGCCAGGCGCACCTGGGGAGGTGGGCGGGGCCAGGAGCACCTGGGGAGATGGGCGGGGTCAGGAGCACCTGGGGAGGTGGGCGGGGCCAGGAGCACCTGGGGAGGTGGGCGGGGTCAGGAGCACCTAGGGAGGTGGGCGGGGCCAGGAGCACCTGGGGAGATGGGGGGTCAGGAGAACCTGGGGAGGTGGGCGGGGCCAGGAGCACCTGGGGAGGTGGGCGGGGCCAGGAGCACCTGGGGAGGTGGGCGGGGCCAGGAGCACCTAGGGAGGTGGGTGGGGTCAGGAGCACCTGCGGAGGTGGGCGGGTCAGGAACACCTGGGCGGGGTCAAGAGCACCTGGAAAGGTGAGTGGGGCCAGGAGCACCTGGGAGGTGGGCGGGGCCAGGAGCACCTGCACGGAGGAGCGGGCTGAGACAGCTGGAGGGCTGCAGCCCCTGCACAGGGTGGCCATCCTGAGCCCGCATGGCTCTGGGGTGGCGCTTGCTCACGGAGGTAAAGGTAAAGGTAAAGGTAAAGGCCCACCCGTTGATCGTCAATTTGTTTGAGCGGGCCCAGTAACGTCTCCATTGGAGACTTTGTTGTTACCGTGTCTGGCATATCGAATACTCTCGGTAGCTTGCCGGGCTCTCCGAGAGGGGCGGAGGAATCGAACTCGGGTCGGCCATGTTGGCCGCTTGTAAGGCGAACGCCCTACCGCTGTGCTATCGCTCCAGCCCTGAAGTAAATCCTTAGAATATTAAACATATCATCTTCAGAAGCAAGTACAAAAATATATTTCAGTTTCATTTGAATTTTTCGTGGGGTGGTGCACAGGGGCTATTTCTGATTCTGCGATCCAGGAGTGACCTCTGGAGTGATGATATGTAGCACCACGGATTGAGTTCCACCGGGCAGAGAAGCTCCTTAATCCCTGTACTATCTTTCTGGATCAGATGTGATTTTTAAATATTATTTCCACTGTTTATTTCCAAGGTAAGGTAAAAGCCCTCCCGTTGTTCATCGATTTGCTCGAGCGGGCCCAGTAACGTCTCCATTGGAGACTTTGTTGTTACTGTGTCTGGCACATCAAATACTCTCG